GGCAGCACCGATCACCATGGGGTTCCTGGCAAGCCTGAAAGAATCGTGACTCTTGTTGAAAATCCTGGGAGCAATTTATGGGGTGTTGCTTACACAATCCCAGTAGGAAAGGAAGAGGAAGTGAAAACACACCTTAACCCAGAGAGAAAGGAGGCTACAGATCTATAATGGTCATTTTTTTTTATTCAAAAGATCCCACAATAAAACCATGCATTGGAACGTGGCATTCCTCATTATCTTGGTCCAGCACCTATGGAAGACACTGCTGAATAATTTTTTAAAAAACTTTATTGATTTTTATTGAGCTCTACATTTTTCTCTGCTCCCTTCCCTGCCTCTTCCTTCCCCTCAATCCTCTCCCAAGGTCCCCATGCTCCCAATTTACTCTGGAGATCTTGTCTTTTTCTACTTCCCATGTAGGTTAGATCTATGTATGTCTCTCTTAGGGCCCTCACTGTTGTCTAGGTTCTCTGAGATTGTGATTTGTGGGCTAGTTTCTTTGCTTTATGTTTAAAAACCACTTATGAGTGAGTAGATGTGATAATTGTCTTTCTGGGTCTGGGTTACCTCACTCAAAATGATGTTTTCTAGCTCCATTCATTTGCCTGCAAAATTCAAGATGTCATTTTTTTCTGCTGTGTAGTACTCCACTGTGTGCAGCTGGTCCAAGTGCAAGAAATGCAGAATAGCATTTTGAACATGCAGATTCTATTAGGAAACCTGTCCAGAAGATGCAGACCAGAAACTCATCTCTGTGGAAAACCTAGTTTAAAAGGAAAATAGAACCTCGGTAGCACACATAGCTGCCCACTCCTCCAAACAGAGAGAACTTTTAGTCTTCAAAAAATAGCTTCATTATTGCTGGGCAGTAGTGGCGCACGCCTTTAATCCCAGCACTTGGGAGGCAGAGGCAGATGGATCTCTGTGAGTTCAAAGCTGGCCTGGTCTTCAGAGGAGAGTTAGTTCCAGGACAGCCAAGGCTACTCAAAGAAACCTTGTCTTGGGGAAAACATGATTAATAATAACTTCAGTACAGAAACAATGGTTTGTTCGGGACATTCTTACTTGAAAATCGTACTATTGAATGCTGTAATTGGAATATTATCTAAATTTTCAGCTTGGTTACGGGTGTCCTAAAGCATATTCAGAAGATTTGCATACAGAGAAAGTTCAAGTTACATAGTGATTTCCTAGCAACATGACACCTGACATTTGTTCATTAGAAACACAGGTCTCAGTTCACTTCCTGTTTTTATGAGAGTAACCATGGTTTACAGTATATAAGTTTTTAGTAATCTTATGAGAAATAGATGGTAATAGATAAGGTTCCAGGACTGATTGTTAATTTCCTTGTTATTTGTGATTAAAATAAACTCAAATTTAGGCCAAAGGAAATTGAATTTTTTAAATATAAATTGTTTCCTTGGAATTATAATGTGCTATTTCTCCAGGGGGGGGAAGTATTTCATTATAGAGAAACACTCAGCAGAGATTATAAAAATCACATCCACAAATGATAATGTCATTTACTTTTTGATTCTGGTAATCACCAATTAGTGGAAACATATGAAAATTGTGTTTGAACAGATTTTATAGTTATGACCTTACAAACAAACAAGTAAGCAAGTAGCCATCACATCTATAAACAAAAGGATAACAACTCCTGAACAATACTTAAAATGTGACAGGAATGATGATGTGTCCTTTGCACACACAGCATCAGAGTTCACAGGAAACCTGCAAGACAAGACAACGATTATCACCATTCTTCAGGTTAGGAAGTGAGCATTGGAACTGGAGCCCAGGTCTGCTGAGCACAGACCCGGGTATTGGCTCACAGCCATTTCTATGGCCTGTTGCTAAAATCATCCTAACTACAGGCATTATCCTGGAGGAACCTTCTGGTGAGTTAATTTGTAACATGATTTTGATATGATGGGCTGCTTCTTTTCTCTCTTGGTAGAGTCTGTCCCGGGCTTTTACAGTTCAAGTCCCAGCTATGGAATATATATATAGAGAGAATTTTATCTAAGAGTGTATCCCCTAATAAATTGACTAAGCTCTAGTGGAAGACCACACACCCAACAATATTTAGGCAACACAAATTGGTCTTCTATTTTTTTTAAAGGGCCATGAATTTGGGTGGGTAGAGAAGAGGAGGTGGATCTGGGAAGGAGAGGCCAATTATAATCAAAACACATTGCACAAGATTGTAATCCTCAAAGACTTACTTTTAAGAAGCATTAATTGACAGAAAAATATTTACAAACAAGTCTTTATATATGTGATACATCATACATGTTTTGTTTGGAGATTTTTTAATTTGTGTTTCTCTGTTTTATAAAGGTAACTACTTCCTAAAATATAATGTATAACATTAATATTTGATCAAATGACTTTCCCATTGGGTCTATGAGGCTGAATTTTCTAAAGTGGGTGGGGATTGAGAGAGGAGGACCTGAATTATGCGTATCTTCTCTAGAAGATTCAAACACAAGAACAGCCTCAGGCCACTTGAAGGAGTACTTGTTCTGGATGCCAAGAGTTTTGGAACTTTCTTCACATTTGTAGGGAAGTACAAGGAGGTCGGGAGTGGTGAGGGAGGGTGGGCTGATGGGCACAAGAGGAGATAGCCTAGGTTGGGCAAGGCCAGGGCTGGCTCCCCTCAGCCTGCAGCTCTTCCTACAGTCTTTCCTCCTGCTAAGCCTAATGTTCCTTCTGCTCCACATGTCTCCTTTTCTCACACCAAGTCTCTCTAGATGAAGATTTGTTTTCTGAGCTCCCACTCACTGAAACACGAGGCTGTTCTTGAGAGGAAAGAAGCAATATGTCACCGTGATGAGTCTCAAGTTCCAAGCTTCCAGGAAGGGGCAGACATTCTGGTCACTACTGTTCGCTCTTCTACTTTTCCCCTGTGATTGCCCACCCTTGAAATAGAGAGAAATAGTTGTCTCTGCACATGGCACTTGGACATGTTTTGGGTAGACCTCGCCACTACAGTGATATTGAAGACAGGAAGTGAGCGCTTGCTCTGGAGTCAGCATTGGACAAGCATTCATCCACCTGGTCCTGGAGCTACTGCTGCTCAGGCTTCATTGTGAGGCTGTCTCCTACCTTGCAGAAACCAGTCCTAAAACTACTTGATAACAAAGTATCTCCTCTTTCGGGTATATGAAAAACAAGAAAGGTCACCACTAATTTCAAGAGTGAAACTTTTGCTCATGGAAGGCCAGACATATGGTGTGGTGGGGAGTGTACAGACAAGCAGGAAGCCACATGTTGTAGAATTACTTGCCCTTCACAAAGGCAAAGATAGCTACACAGTCATTTTCCTTGATGATACAGTCTCCCTGCAACAACACTTAATCGTTGAGCAAAGCAATGCCCATGAGGGGAGCTGTTTCTTGTAGAGGGCATAACTATGCAGCTTAGTTTAGTCCTTAGAGGAAGAAATAAGCAAGAAGCCAAAAAGCAACAACTAATAGAGTAGAACATATGCGCCCAACGGTCACACACATCCACCAGCTTGTTCTGTGCTATAAGGAGCCCCTACTGGGGCCGGAGTCTCAAGATGTTGTGAGCTAAACCCAGCTGGTTGGAATGGACAGGACTGTTTAAGAATTAGTTGCCTGGTTTGTTTGATCTTTTGAGCATCTTGCCCAAAGTCTCACTCAAAATTGTAGTAACCCATCTCACAGAAAACAAGCCCCACTGAGCACACGCTCTCAAGCCAGGAAATGCTGCGGCTCCTAGTGATGAAGCGTTTTCAGCGGCCCGGAAGCCTCAACTCAGACCCTCCCTGGGATGGGGCACAGCATGGACACAAAGGACTGTCAGCACACTCAACTTAACAGTCCTGGATAAATTATTTACCTTCGCTGGCCCCAACATCCTCCCTGAAAGACCGCATTGACTTCATTAGATGGTCTTATTCCACCATCAAGCTTCAGATATGTAGAAGTTTGGGGTATATTTATTCGGTACATCTGAACCCAACTTGTACTAATCTGCTCTTTCCATTGACAAAGGGGAAACAAAACATAATATCCAAAAGATCTACTGTATATGTTTTTAGAGTTGTAGTTGTCAGAATACGGTAAGGCTCCTTGTAGCTACACTCCATCCTGGATGTTTGAGCTGAAGCATAGCAAGTCTGATCAGGCATGCACTGGAGAAAGATGCTGGGAGACCTGGTCCTCTACTGGCATGCCAAAGAATGATGTCTTTCGAGGAAGGGACCCGTGGCCAGGCCATACTCAGGACCTGAGTGTGTTGTATTAACAGTGATCTCTGTACAGCCCGCTAAGCTGCTCCTGATGGAATTTCCTTGAGAAATGACTGAAGAATGTGCACTTCCAGCCGGGCGGTGGTGGTGCACATCTTTAATCCCAGCACTCGGGAGGTAGAGGAAGGCGGTTGTCTGTGAGTTCAAGCCCAGCCTGGTCTACAAGAGCTAGTTCCAGGACAGTCAGGGATATTACACAGGGAAACCCTGTCTCTAACTCTCCTCCTCCAAAAAAATGAAAAAAAAAAGTGCACTTCCTATGGCAGACCTCATGGCGGGGTTTCTACATATACTTGATTGACATATAAATATAAATGCAGCTGCCATCTGGCAGCAGACAGTGAAGGGACATAATATAATGATCCTAGATGTACCAGGAATTTAAGATTTGCAGAAGTAAGGCTGGCAAATTGCCATCCTGTCTATACATATTCATTTCCTTTGTTTGAGCAATATCTATGGTAGAAAGAGTAATTTCATTACTTCTGTTACTACCTTTGAGCCAATATTTAACAGCTGATTCTATTCATTTATAGTATTTATATACTTAACATATCTACTTCTTAAAATGCTGATGATAAATGGATAGATATGATAAACTGATGTATGCATATGTGTATGTGTCTCTGTGTGTATATATATAAGTTTTAATGGAAACCAATGTCATCAATATCAGCCAATTATTTCATTGAGCAAATATCACTACCTCTGTTCTCATAGAATTTATTAATTAATAAGAGAAAGGGAAAAGCGAATAAGAATATTCATAAAAAGAGATGAATAAATGGTTGGAGAGATGGCTCAGCAGTTAACAGCTCTTCTTGCTCTTCCAGAGGAGCCAAGTATGTCTCCCAGCACCAATATCAGGTTGCTCACAGTCAGCTGTAACTCCAGCTCCAGGGATCCAGCACCTCCGGCCTCCATGGGCACCTGCAATCACATGCACAGATTCACACAGACACATACACATCATTCAGAAAGTAAATTGTTTTAAAGAGATGAATGGCCTTATATAGCAGAATGTGGAGGTCCTTGCTGTGTGGTTCACAGGCCTCAGGGGATCCTGAGCCTCTCCTGGGTGTCTAAACAAGGAGACTCTGTGTCCACTGAGATACTGATGTATTATTTATATTTCTCATTCTCATTTTCCCAAATACACAGTAGAGTTTCTAGAGGTAAATGGTCTGTGCTACTGTAACACACGGAATGTAGAAGCAGATTAGAAACTCTGCCTCCTTCTATTAAACTAGACATTAAAGAAACTGGTAAAAACAAATTTTTGCACTAAATATATTGCTTTTGTAATATTTTTTCCAATAAAAATGTTAATAATGTCAACATGTCATAAGTTTATGGTTATATTTTTAAAAATCAATAAAAATTCATTTCTTAGTTTTACGTTCTCTTAAGACTTATTTTTTTTATTTGTGTATGTGTATGTGTGTGTGCCTGAGAGTATGTATGTATACCCCCCACACACAGGTATTCACGGAGGCCTGAAGAGGTCATCAGAGCCTCCATAACTAGAGTTACAGGTGGTTGTGAACTGCCTGCTGTGGGTGCTGTAAACCACACCACGATCCTATGCAAGAACAGCAAGAACTCTTTACTGCTCAGCCCCCTCTTCAGCGCCTTTCGCTTTCATTTCTAAATTACACTGATATGTAATTTATATATTAATATATGGATACATACAGATAAATAAAATCTACATATGCAGAATTTTTTAGAGCTGTCAATACAACTGAAGACGATGGAGAGTCCTAAATTTGAGACATGCTAATCTAGACTGAGCTACTTTGTCCAGAAAGCTCTTAGCCTCACTTCATTCATTCATGGTTCACTTTTTGGTCATAACTAATGGATGTTTCTCCCATGATGCCTTTGCTGATTCCCTTCCCTTTAGCAATCATATAGAAAAATACTAGTCAGACAAATGGTATGTGTCAAGTACTACTGCTTTAGTGGCTTATAAATATATGAATAATATATATATATATGATACTACCTCTTAGTCATTATTACTAATTTCCCATTTCTCATAGAATATTCTTACTTTGTAATATTGCTCCTACAATGTAAGTTATTAACTCTATTAATATTTAAGTTCATTGAAAAGTCTGAGCTTACTTGAATAGAAGTAGACTAATTTAAACATGATCAAAGGCACAAAATTAAGGATCTTCAAGGTACAGTCAAAAAGCAATAGGATGATTAATGCTAAAATGTCATTAATAAGATTTCTAAGACAAGGAAAAAAGAATATAGATGAAAGGAGACTGAATATTCTGGGAATATTTTGTAGATTTAATTTGGAGAAATTAACATATCGGTGCTGGAGGGATAGTTCAACATTAAAAGTACTGGCTGCTCTTCAAGAGGTTTAAGTACCTGTATCTACATGGTACCTTACAACCATGTGTAACTCTAGTTTCAGGAGGTCCAATGCTCTCTTCTGGCCTCCTTGGATACCAGGAAGGGACAGGGTGCATGCACATACACATGTACACACACACTCACACATACACACACACACACACACACACCACCACCACCACCACCATCCCTACATGTAAAATAATAAATAAAATACTTTCAACAAAAGAAAGGGATGGATATCTGAAGTCCAGGATTCAAGGCAATGAAGAAGGGAGGGGCAATCGTGTTCTGCAGCTTGCTTCCATCACTCAGCAAGGAAGGCGAGGTCACAGGCCACCATGGGTAAAGCTCATCCCGGCCTGGGTTAAAAGAAACACTTTTACTGAATGTGCCATAACTCCACATAGTGAGATGTTCATGGCTTTTGAAAGACTCATTTTTACTTCATAAAACTGAATTTTCAAAAGTCACTGGATCCCACAGCATCTAATAGCTTTAAAAAAATTATGACTTTATAAAAATAAGTATTTTAATTAGATACTTTAGTGATCTCAAAGGAATTTTTATATTCTTTATAAACAAGAATAATATTTTCCTAAGAAGTATACCATGGTTTCCAAAAACACAGAAAGTCCTAAAGAAGTCTCCACTTGTTGACAAAGTTCAAACAATTTAAAACTGTATCACCAATTCACAGGACAGTTACGGGTATGTTCCTAAATGCACCCAGGCCCACCAAGCATACACAATGAAAGTGCCGGAAGGTAAAGAAAGACAGCACATGACCCGCATAGTAGACTTAGGGGAAAACAGGGAAACCAGGGCTCCAGAAAGGGGCAAAGCCTGGGCATGTCACTCTGCCCCTTGGGCTACACCAAGCCAGGAACCTGCTTTGCACGTTTTCCTTTGATAATGTAATAATAGCAACAGCCATATAAGAGACGTGGAGTAGCTTAGGTGGCATACAAAGGTTTGGGGAATATATAAGTATTTTCTATTGGCGGCTGAATAATAACAACATGAAATTACGGGTTTTCTAAAGCACATTTTGGATAAAGAGAATAGCCAGGACGTATGTCACAGCCAGGGAAAGCAGTTCCTGTATGGATTCTTACATTATGGATGCTTCTTATAACCAGTCATCAAAACACCCTGGAGAGGCCATGGGTCCATAAAAGAGACTAAGCTCATTTGGATTGTGACTCTGGGCCCCTAAGTGTAAGAAAAATCTTAACGTGAGGTTCACAGGATGTTTTAACTTTTCTTAAGAGTTGTATGTATTCTATAAAACACTTGCCATTTTCCTAAGTAAGCACTTTAAAAGTTCTTAGGTTGAAAAAGAATAACTTGCCTCTCTGTACTGGTACCCAGTGTTTGGGTGTGTGGACATCCACACAAATACACACACCCTGGTACTAGTACCCAGTCTTTGGGTATGTGGACACAGAGGCAGAGACGCCGAGTGCACTAATGTCAGGAACTGATTTTGATTCTGTTTCCCTAATTATGAGACACCGACAAAATTACTTCATTTCCCTAAGTCCCATTTCCTTTTGTTACAAATTAGTTATAGCAGCATCTCTGTCTACTTCAGAGTCACAGTGATAACTCAAGAAGATTTAGAGGAAAATATTTTGTACAAAGATACAATTTTCATGAACTATCTTAACGCATGCCTTATGCTAGGAGGGCTGTTTCAGTAAGTGTCTTTGTTAGGCAAAAGTCGAGTTATGAAACTAAAAGTACAACTTTCCATATGATGTGGCACTTCCTGCCCTGCTTTACAAGGCCATGTCCCAGATGGGTGCCTATTTATTACCATATGACCAACCCAAGCGCTGATTGCTGTTATTAGGGCATGAAAATATTAGCCAAGCCAAGATCCTTGTTGTGAAATGTAAGGACCATGCAAATCTGACATGCCACACGCTGTTAGCCTTCATTTGTGGTTCCAATAGTTAAGGGGTCTAAGGATCGTTTCAACACATGACTAGAGCTGGAAATAGAAGCCTAAAAGTTACCTTACTGACCAAGATTTCTACTGGTAATAGGAGATCATGGCAAGATCACCTTAGGGCTGATCCAAGAGAATGAGAAGGAAAGCAGGTCCTCCACCCGGGGGCACCACCCTTTCATCCTGCTGAGCTCAGGACAAGGTGCCTACGTGCTCACTGCCCTAGCTTAGAACCTCTCTGCACTACCCTGAGCCTAAGAAAGAAGTCCTTCACTGCAGGGCCCTGCTTCAGACTCCACTTCACTCCTAAGGAGCTTCTCACGGTAACGTTGCTGCTTCTAGATCCCAGTTTCTTTTGCCTAGTCCAAGGACACCAGACTTGGCTTATCAACTCCCTTGAAGAATCATGCAGAAATGATCAAAGGAGCCAGACTAACAAGATACCCTGCAAAAGAGGCCAGGCAGGGTCTGTCACTGTGGAAGTACCTCAACTACCACCTGGGACAGTAGCCTCTGAGCTCAGCCTGCCTGTTAACTTAGAGGAACACACATCTAAACACGGCCAGAAATTTTCAGAAAAAAGAAAACTTGACACTGGGATTTTTATTTGGAATTTTAACTTCGTAAATATGAAGCAAATCAAAGTTATTTTCCAAGTTAAAAAAAAGTCTTTGTTTTCAATTCTATCATGATGAAGTAACATACACCAACAGGCCATGTCTGAGGAAAGGCAACACCTCTCTGCCTGATAGCCAAGAGCTAACCAGTATGCTTTAGGACCAATCTGCTGCTGGCGTTCCATTGTTTGGTTCTTGTCTATGGCAAGTATTTCAGACTACACTGTAAGGAGATCAAAGGCACAGAGGAAGAAAGGTGCCTGAGAAGTGGGTCCCTGTGGCTCCCTTTGTCTGCTTCTCTGGCAAATCTCGCTGAGATTGCTAAAACGTCCTATGAACAGAAGACACAGCACACACAGCTCATGCCTACAGGATGCTCTGTAGCTCCTCCCCCAGGCATTCTGATAGTTGAGTCCCTGGGTGAAGGGAGAAGACTGTACACCAGAGGGCAGGAAGTCAGCACACAGCACAGTGCCCAGATGAGAGCGGCATTGGCCTTCTGAGTCTGAGATGAGTTTATTATGATTTCCAGTTACTTCAGAAGACTCTCTTTGAACCAGAGTATTATGTTTACCCTAGAAGAGTTTTAAGACCATCTTGTTCTGCCTTTCCATTTTTTCAGGTAAAAAATAAACCGTGTACAGAGGGTCTTCTAAGCCAACAACATCAGTACCACTTGGACTCCCTCCTGTCCAGGACTAATGGCTTGGAGGAAATATGGGCTCCTCCTCCTCCCTCCTGCTTATGAGGTCAGACTGCATGTCAGCTGTTCTTAGCAATTGTGAGGGTCAAGAGACATTGTCAATGCTCAAGAGAGTCTTCTGTCACACACTACGCTACGAGCACCCAGGGACTGTCTCCATTTCACTGGGAACTGGTAGCATATGTCCTTGTTACTCAAAACATCTCTGGAAAGCTTGCCTCCACTGTTTGTAACTTTACAACAAACTCAGAACATGACTCAGATGAATCTGGTCTAATATCCTTATAGAAACCACTTTGAAACCGGTGAGCCTGAAAATTGCAAATGGGAGCTCTCCAGTTGAGGCCATAACAGGCTTTCCTCTGAAAGAGCCAGGCTGTCCTCTGCCAGGGAGAAAGCAGGGTCTAAAGTTCAGAGGGCAGTCTGTGAGATCTGGCTGGCAGCTTGGCCACAGCTAAGGAAGAAGTCACTCTTCTTACGTAATAGGAAATGATCTTGCAACACGGCAAGAATGGCTCTCAGCGAAAGCGCCTGTGCTGTTCAGTCCTCCATAGAAACTAGCCTCACAGCCATGCCCTGCAGGACTGGGATCATATTTTACTGGGAGGGCTTTATAGATACCTCACTGCTACTCCCGGAAAAACAAAAGGGCTATTGATTGGGCTCCCCAATGCAACTGTAGAGTAATTAGGGCATGGACCCTTTCCAGACTCTTTCTAAGGTGAGTCATTTGGAGACCTCATGTCTAGGGTGCTATACTCAGCCCCCTGTTCTCCCCCAGCCATTGAGGCCCCTAACATGTCAGAAGGGAATAGAGTGATCTGTTAATCTGGGTATTTTTATTGTTACTATTGTTTTGGTAGAGATGGTAGCCTCTACTGTTTCAAAAATGTAGGTTTTGACCTTAAATAGTATCACTCTTAAGTTTTCTCTTTGTTCTGTGGATGTTACAGAACTGTTTTCTACACAGTAATGCATCTTGAGACTGACTCCAACTAGAAACTGAATTAGCTCATTCAGGCACACCCTGGTGTCAGTTAGCAAGTGTTGTTTCACCGCAGTAAACAGGGTCCTTACAGGGCACCCCGTGTCTAATGCACTCATGGCCTTTGACCTCTCACACAGGGAGCCAGAGCATGTCCCATTACAACATACTCAGAAGAAAAGTACCAACAAGCAGTATCACATACTCAGAAGAAAAGTACCAAAAACCCAGAGATATTTTGAGTAACAAGGACATATGCAATCAGTTGCTGGTGAAATGGAGACAGTCCCTGGGTGCTCGTAGTGTAGTGTGTGACAGAGGAATGTCCTGGGGAAGGCAGTGGAACAAATCTAAAGCAATTCACATTCATAAAATAAAAATTTTATTTTTTTCATTTACCCCAGAACTAAAAGTAGGATTGATATTAAAAATATGGCTATCAACTACAGTAAAATACTTGCTTAACATTAAGAAGCATTTCCCTGTGTTATCTTCAAATCACCCTTGGTTTAGACCTAACAAACTTCCTCGTAGTTTCTAAAACACTCATGCTGAAGCCTGAATATACTCAACTCTCACTACTGCTTCAGACATACACTCTTTTCTCCCTGGTTCTGGTAAAAGAGTCTAGGCTATCTCCAACTAGTAATCTTCTGTAATTTGAGACAAAATGTCTATTCCCCTTTTTCATTTAAGCTGCTGGTGAGATAACTCCACATCGATGGATTCCTCCTTCAGTTCCTTCTCCTCAAACTGAGGGGAGTATCTGTGTTTTGTAACAATATATGTTTGGGGACCAGAAGCGGGGGATGGAGGGAGAAAGGGGGGGGAAAGAAAGGAGAGGTGGGGGAAGGAGGGAGAAAATGAGAGAGGGAGAGAAAGGGTAGAGGGTAGAAATTATACATTTTATCTTCCCTCACTAAAGAGCCAGCTATCCACCTAGCCAGTCATCCATCTGTAAGCGTGGACATACACATGCTCTCTACCAAACAGAAATGCCCACCAAGGACCTACCAAGGAGAAAGAGAGCATGGATCAAACCGAGAAGGCGGCATGCTGTGCACTCTTAACAGTGGTGTATTGACAAGTCGAGCACCAGGGAAAGTCGTGTGGAGCAAAGGGGTCTGTAGACTCCCAAATTACCAAGGTCCTGATTAGGGGACAGGAGAGAGTGCCTGGAAGGAGTTCAGGCTAACACGGAAATCTCATTACTCTTGCTTTACGTGTTGTACGTGCCCTACGTGAAAACCTCAGAAGGTGACACTGGCCACTCTGTGGGCATGTGTGACTCCATGAGTCATTGCTAGAATATCAAAGGGATTCTTAGTCAGGAAATAGTCTCTGCCGTGCTGTTTATGATCAACAAGTTAGGCAAATGCAGCCTGACAATCAAAAAAACCAGCACAGAGCCATAAAACCCCTCGGATTTGGAGCCCACGCCCCATTTACTGTAAATGCCCTTGGCTGCCCCGGGCCTTTCATCATTGCAATGGAGCATGCAACTTCTCGATAGACAAAGCCCAGTTCTGCACTTTGCTTAGCATTTCCTCTGAGGGAGTCCACTAGGATTCACCCAACACACAATAGGCACACAATGAGATACTTTAGCAACGATCGTTTGTAGAGCGGATATGCCGTTTTCAGGCAAAATTATCTCAAAAAAAAAAAATTCTAAATCAAAGTCATTTTGTATCTTTTCCATTAGGCAGACTCTAACACAGAGCTTGAGACTGTCAGTGTATTCTTCACTGGAGGAAAGGATGCTTTTGTTGCTTAGATGAAAATGACTTGTGAAGCTAAGGTTTCTCCTTAGAAGGACACACTTGTAACCCGGAGGAAATCACACTTTTATTTTTGTTCGGCTCAGTTTCCTCATGAGCAGAGGACACTTAAGCAGAGGGAGGAATGCTCTCTATGAGAGTAACTGAACCTGAACTCTGTGTCCCTGAGGCAGAGAATGTTAAGAGGCATAGAGTCTGCTCTGGAGAAGAATTCAGGTCCTTGAATATTTGAATGGTTAATAAAGCAACATCAGCTGGATCCTCGGGAAACTGTTCACAATCCCTTTCCCTGTAAGTAAGATCAGTAGAAACACCATAAGACTTGGAGATGTTCTCCGTGGGTGACTTCTGTAATGTTTATGTAGCAGGAGTATTAACAAGCGATTTAATTTGTTCTTATGTTTGTTTATTGGGGGCACTAGTACTACAGGGCATGTGTAAGTCAGAGGACAACTTACAGGATTTAGGTCTTTCCTTCCACTTGTGGGCTCAAACTCAGGTTGTCAGGCTTGGTGGCAAGGTCTTCCACCTCTGAACCATCTTGCCAGCCAGCAAGTCATTTTTGCCCTAAAAGCATCATCAAATAATTTTAGAGCCAACAAAGGTGTTGGTAAAGATGAAAAAAAAAGAGGAAGGGAAGGAAAAAGGGAGGAAAGGAAGGAGGGAAAAGAGAGGGAGAAGGACAGAGCAGGGAAGACGAATACATTTGAAACAAAAGCTAAGGTTTCTAAGCTTATTTCTTATGCATCCCGTGAAGCTTGCCAGTCCTCAGCTCACAGGGACAGGGAAGGACGGTATGCCTTCAGCGCCTAGCTCACAGGCTTGCCTAAGGGAGGAAGGAGCCATGGAAAGACGCTTAGTAAAACTTAATGTGTACTACAAATCAATGGAACATGCCTGCCCCCTTTTCCTTTTAAATGTGAACCGTTGTTTTTGTGAATGGAGTGAACCAGATCTGTAAACAGACCTTAACCTAACTCCAAAAGTCTGTAGAAGAGGAAACTGACTTTTTATTATTATTATTATTATTATTATTATTATTATTATTATTATTCCTATTGAGAAGACAAAGAGAAACCAAGGTTAACAATCTAAAGGCAACTCATCAGAGGGTGTTCCACTCTATAAAGGTCATTAAGTCTGGTAACCAGGCAACTGGAGTACCTCCCACTTTGAAGTAAGACGGGTGATAGTGGCATAAGTCACCCTTTCCTTAGTATCGGGTGCAATTGCCACCAGAACAACGCCCATGCCCAGGTGATAACTGGTGCTAACGTGGGTCATCATGTCACCTCCTCAGGATCATTCCCAAAACAGACCAGAAATGCCATGTGGAAACTTACAGCTGACTGTCCTAACTGACGGAGAAGAACAGCAGACGATCTGAACGCCAATCGCTCCTGGCTCTTCCGCTCTGAGAGAAGCTTATGTGTCCGAGAAGGCATGCCTCACTTACCTGTGTTGAGACGATCATGACAAGCAGTCTGGAGCATCGTCAGACAAAAACAGTCATTAGGCTGGGCTATTCTTAACTCTCTGCGTGGATTGCAGGGGAGAGCTTTTCCTGAAAACCCTAAGTTCAGATGTTTACAATTACAGGCAATGAGGCTCAAAGAGACAGCCTCATGGATCACTTGTGCTTTATTTTTGGTTTTGTTTTCATTAGATGCAACACTGAGCTGAGCCGTGAGCCTTCCAGGGAGTTGCACAACTTCAGTTTTTAGAGATTGTGTTTCATAGTCACGGAAAAAAAATAATTGGATTTAATAGGTTTTCACAATTATATTATCTACTTAACCTTCCAAGATCATTACTCATTTAATTGCAAAGCCCCAGGGAAAGATCACAGGGGAAGGACCATGCTAGAGAAACATAACAGAAGAAAAAAAAGCAGGTTCTCTACAAATGATGGAAAAGTATTTCCAACATTATGAATGAACTCCTAGATTTGAAATAGTTGTGTCTCTTTGATAATTGCATACATTACAAAGCAGAGACTTGAAGATTAAAGTTATATTTATTGGTGTAGAAATGTACGTACATATCTGCTTCCAAACAGATAATAAAGGCAAGAATGATAAAATTGCAAGCCCCAAGCTGTGAGTGACAGGCATTTGCTGTGTTATTCAGGCTTTGCTGCAAATACTGCCATCCCTTATAGAGGAGTGATTACAACTAGAGATGTGAAAGTCATGGAAACAGCCCGTCCCTGTATCAGGGTAGTTGGTACATAAACTGTACCACATCTATGGGGCAAAGATGCTCTGGTCCTTGTGGGGTTTAAATTTGTCTCTTAGTTTTTAGAGTACCAGAAGAGGTTAAGTCATGTTGTGAGCATTAATTCACTGCTCTACAAATTATTGCATTCTACAAGCTCCAAAAGATGTTTCCATCTTGATGGCCTCTAAGGAAACGTCCTGGGCGAAAGGCTTACTCCCAGTCTGGTTTTGATTCTCTCGTTTATTTCGATGGGATTAAAGCAAAGCAAAAGCACTTAACAAAGCAACCAACCTGTATACAGAGCACTGTATTGGACTCCTCATTCTGGTTGGAAGCCAAGGCACTTAGATTCCTGTTGCTTTTGTCAACTCTTCTTCAAGCTGCACTGGCCTTGTTTGTGTTCACTCCCAGTGTTCTAGGTTACTCTGTCAACCCAGGCTCCAGTTGTCCCACATCCTCCCACAGAGGTCATATTTTACTATTGAGAAAGGCTCAGCAGGAGGATGAAGTACTATGCAGTCACAAAGCAACCAAAACACCAAGACACCGCCCCAGCAAGATGAAAGCTCGTGGTACGTGGACAGTAGAGCTTCCAGCTGAGCAGGAGGCTGGCTGACGAAAGACAATCACAACAATCTCACAAACACACAGTCCCTCTAGGCTTCCTACAGACCTATAAACCCGGGCTGGAAAGACTTTCCCAATCAAGGCCCGGGCCAGGGTTTGAAAGTGAACAAAGTCCACAGGCCTCAGGACAGTGACTTGCTCAAGCAGGTGGATGAGGAAGACACCCCGCTCCTTGGTAAGTCGCTCCTTGGTAAATTGGTCAGTTTCAACGGAACAAAAGAAAAGAATTTTCCTGATCAGCCATTTATTTGAAGAGTACATTAAAGAAGGAAATAGGGCTGAAATAAAATTCAAATAGTATACATTTTGTGAAGAATTAAGAATCCATTTTTATTAGGTGACTCGTTAGTGAATGGCAATATAAATAAGATTTGGTGAAATTACTCTTCTAAGTGTCAAAAAGATGTTTTCAGTGAAAAACCTTTGCAAACACAAATAAAATTGGTTTGGTCATTCGGTTGGTAAAACTGAACGAGCGTACCAGAAAATTCTGTGCATTCCAAATCTGCAGCCACTCCAAAGCCCTCTCCCCATCTCTGGTCAATGATGGCATGGCTCACTTCTCTGTCTCTCGTCCAACCACCCAGTCTTCTCAGTAGGGCTCCCAGAGCCTCAGTCCAGGCACTGGAAACTTTCTAGGTAGTATCTGGGCATTAGTGTCCCAGGACCACAGCCACGGTAGCGGAGCTGCGAAGGAGCTGTCAACAGGACTATCTGCTCTATAGATGGTGCAAACTGCTCTTGCCAGGCCAGTACTCAGAACCCCAGAAGCTTCCAGACCCATTCTCCAGAGACCCCTAACAAGAGGACCATGCTCCATCTATTCGCTCCCCCGTTCTTCATCAACACCCACATTCACACAAAGCATTCCGCCACCACCCCTGGCAAGAAAGCACTGAAGTTAGATGGAAACTGATTTTATTGGCATTTGGTGAAAAGGCAAAAAGCTATTGAGAGCCCACCTGTAATCCTCTGTCCTGGGTGCTCAGAATCCAGTGATGAAAAGACTTTAGTGATGAACAGGCCGGTGTTAACGGCACACCCTACAGTCCCGTGTTAACGACATCATTAGGCCATCCTGCTCTCTCTCTCTGACTCCAGGGCCATGACTACACTCTGCTTTAAAACACATGGGAATCAGTTGATCTCTCAGCAATCACGCTGGAAAAAGATTGCTCATGTTGAAGATGAAGAAACTAATCTTGAGGGATAGTGAGTGTTTAAACCCAAGTCATAGGTCTAGCAAGTGGTAGACTCAGCAATCAAACTGAAAGCTTTTGTGCAGAAATCGGCTGCTTGCTGGATGGGTCACCCAACCTCCTGAGGATTAATTTTGGGAAATACTTTTCTAAGAAACCTTCTAGTGGTAACACAACAACAACAAAAAAAAAAGTCCTGAGCACCTACCCTATGCAAAACCTGCCCTGGCCTCTGGGAAGACGATGTAGCAATGCAAGTGTGAATGCAATATTGTCCTGACTCAAGGGAGGTGGTGAAGGGGATAAAAGTCACCAGATGGCAACAGCCAGTCCCAGAAAATGAGTGAGATAAGGAAGTGGGAAGGAAGGAAAGCACCAGGTAGGCACTGGAACCTAAAAGATCCGGCATGAGCTTTTGGATTTTATCTGGGAAGTGCTATTCCACCCAATGACTCTCCAGACCCAGAAGAAGGGGAGGGATCATGTAGCCTTTTCTAGGCTCTTGAGTTGCTCCTCAGATAAGACATGTATTCTGACTCCTAGGAGTGATTTTTTTTTTTTTACATTAGTAAGCAAAAAGATTTTATTCTAACAAGATCAAAAGTCTCTTGGAGTTGGGTAGCATGTCTTCAAGAAAGTAGAAATTTTCAGAGAACTGATAAAGCAATTTAGGTCATGAGGCTAAAGGGCAGAGCTAAGCTGTTAAGAACTCTTGTAGTTTTACATTAGTTACTTTATCGCGACATCTTGATGTAGTTTTCAAAGTTCACTTTGAGGAAACTGACAAACAGGTCAGAAAAACAAGAATTGGAATTGCCATCCTGAATATGTAACATACACTGCCAATATATGTTTTAAAAAAAATAAGTAATTTAAAAAAAAAACAGTTTCTAGATGGAATCAAGGGCTCCTTAACACAACAGTATCAGGATAGCTGTTGTGCAAGGAAGAGGAAGAGTGTTTTAAAAAGACGTGTCTCCTTGATACAGGAGTCCACCGTGCTATCTGTCTCTGCCAATGCCGAGTGTTTCCTTTGAGTACAGGTACTGTTTTGAAACCTAGCTGTTCTGTTCTGTACACCGTTTGAAAGACCACACAGGAACTGGAGGGGGAGAGGGACATCAATCCCATTTACTGCTCAGACTCTAGCCTGACATAGCTACAAAGCCAGATGATGAAGAGGCTTGTCACCATGTGGCACTTTCGGACCAGGTGCCTGGAGACAGATGTTCCACTTCCTGAGGAAGAGGCTAGAATACAGCTGCTGGGAAGCTTGGGACAATGATCAGCGAGTGAGTGGGAGGAGTTCTGGGGCTCCCACTTCATGGAGACTTCTCACCTTCTTAAACTAGAAGAACCTTGAAATTCTTGACCCCATTGTGCTACCCTGATCCAGGAGGTGGGCTGGATCATTGGGTACACTGCATTTACTTACCTGTTTCTCTGTCCAAAAAACTGGAATGGAGTCAAGTCCCCTTGTGTGCTGGGAGGATCAACATGGGTTAATAGTGGATTTTTATTTGTTTTTAAGCTCCCCATAATTCATCCAACACATTATTCTTTTTCTTAAATTATCCATAGATATTATCTATTGCTTACAACCAAAGGGGTATAGCTATTGTCTTTCCCTTCCCAATGCTATGCATCTCGTTATACCCGGATCCAGAACCGCTTTCATACTATCCTTGATTATGGTGAAAGAAGCTCCCCTTACATCAAAAGGCAAACCTTCTGGTGGGCTCTAGAATCTACTTCTTTTCTCATTTCAGGGGACTACTTTGATTGTCTCCTTTTTGATATCACCTTATATTATCTTCTCTTTGATGTCACTGGAGTCTCCGTGCCTTCTGAATCATGCATGTAAACCTATAAACTGACTCTATCATCAGCCACCTAAAGCACCATTCCTTCACACCTGTAATTATCATTCTTTTCCAGTCCATTCCTTAACTTCTCCACTGCAGAGAGACATCTGGATTTGCTATTTCCGTTTCCTTTTCCTCACATCCTGATTCTCCCTGCTATCCCCTCTTGTCTGGCTTTTGTCCCCAACAACTGACGCTGATACTGGTTTTGCTATGAAACTGGTGATTTTCAGGCTGCTGCGTCCATTAGACAGTGCCTCGTTCTTGTCTTACAAACGCTTTTCTGTACTCTTGGCCTACTTGTTCACCTCTAAAGTAGAAAGGGCACCTTCCTTGCCTGTTCTCCACTTCCTTTTGTTGAGGTAGAATCTCTCAGTGAACACAGATTTGTGAACGGAACGGCGGTGCTGCCATGTATTGCTCAGTCTGTTAGTACAAACACCCCCTTATCATTAGACATTCACGGGGAAAAAAAAAAGAATATTTTTCTATGAGCAAGATGGGTGGGTCAAAGGTAATGGTCTTCAACAGAATAGCAGTAAAAACAGAGCTTGAAAGCCCTAGCAAGTCCTACTTGTACCTATAGCTGACAGTGGGCCATGGTGAGGACTCAAGATGGATAGCCTTTTTCTGGATGGACACCATTTGACAAAGCTATCCAGAAAGTTAATGGAGCCAAATACTCATCTGGATTTTATCAGTTTGGTGTGGTTAGGAAAATAAAAGTGATTTT